AGACGCCTCCCTTCATTTCCGTGCCGGATTTGAATTCGTTTGTAGCCCAGATTTTACGCGCACAACCCTCCGCGCATGTGCCTCGAAGGTTCGCATTTTTTCCGCAGTACCTGTACTACCTCATCCGAATCGATAAACCAACAACGCTAAGCATCTTTCATCACGCGTACCTTCAGGTATGTGCCACCTTCGCAACAATACACCGGAGTGTGATATAAAGCTTTTAGCTGGGTTTGTGGTATGAGGTGGAGCACTGCGAACCAATCACAAAAGAGATGTGGTGCTACTAGCAAGGGTGGTTATGGTAAATAGTACATCCAAGGAATGTTTGGTCAACGCTGTCGATACTCGTGTTGCAGTGACGGGTCTCTGATGTGCACAAGAGGTAGAGTCGAATGTGGTCTCTTTTAGTCAGCCTGAAGGTGAACTCCTGATCCGCAAGAATACCTGCTGTAACTCAACCGCTTATCAATCCAATCTCACTGGGCTGTCCAATGCTATGCTTAGGCGTCACACTTAACACAACGCTATGGGGACGGCACTCACGCTCACCTCAACCTTTGTCGAAGTTATGCCAAGCGGCTTCTGATCAAAGGGGGTGGTTGCAGGAGCACTGAAAACCAGAATAATCCAAACACGTTGGGAACTCCGGGAAAACGGGGATAACTTCAACCATACGGTTACCATCTGCGGAGCTTCCTACAACAGGAGTCAATTGGACAGACGGAACGATTTAGCTCGTAGACGCGGACAGTCAAGGATGCTTTTTCGTCCGCAAGACGAACCCTCTTTACATCGAGAGTACGCAATTCTACGATACGGAGGATGTTCGACCTACCTTCAAAAGTTTCATTTCTTTCTTTGTTTTTTCTTTTCTACTTAGACTACATGTACAACTGCAATAACCAACGCTATGCCGTTGTTAGCAGTGCGTTGTATTTCGCGGTCAACTGCTGTTCTGAAATATGGAACCGGACTAAGCCACAAACCATGCGACAGCACAAGTACGCAGAACAACCATTACAGAAAGAAGAAAACTCCGCAAAAGAACAACAATATCGATTTACTTTTGATGCACAAGAACATGAACGTACACTCGCTCAAGAGTGCATGAGAAACAAGGCGCATGTATGATCATAAGGCGCACCGGAGCAAACAACAGACAGGGCCGATTTATCCTTCTTCGCTCTCTCCTCCGGCTCACCCTGCCGAGACTCGCCTCGCTAGGGGCAATGGTCTCAGTGCTTGCTCTTCTACTGGTGCTGCCCCGGACCACGGAACGACCTGAGATGAAGACTCCCAACTTTGGGCCGCTGATAGTGCTCATGGAGAGTTCTCTTGAGGGCCTTACGTATTTAGCGACTGGTTTGCCGGCGAGAGGCAGGGCGAAATGTATTCTCCGTGCCGAAACGGAAGAACCCAAGAGAGGAGCGGTTTCACGGGCACGCACGTCCGGAACTATAGGGTGAATACGTAGTGATATCAAGCACGGAACGTAGTTCAACCGCCGACTAGACCTTGAGAGGGGGTTAGCAACCCGTACACCCATCACCCGCCTCCCAGGGGTCCCATGCCTGATTGACTTGCCGGGAGACGACAGCGCAGGAGAGACGAGGCCAGCGTCTCGGCCCCCTTTCGGTTGCCGCGCCAGGAATATTCCCCTTTCGGTGCTCCCCGCTGATAAGTATTGCCACCTCCAGCAAACCGTCCCTCTCCTCTTGGTACGGCAGCATCATTCGGACACCCAGCGAGCATGAACGTGCCAGCATGACTGTTCAAGAATACTACAAAGAGGCAGCGACCGCGATTTATTCGGAGCCCTGACTTTGGAAACCTTCCGGTGGGCGGTTTTGCAAAAGGTCCTATCGTAAAGTACTGGATCACCTGCATGGCCGCAATTTCGTCGGCGCCGAAGAGGTCGGCCTCGCTCGTCGCTTGCCAGACCAGGGCCAGCCTGGACCTCGACGACGGCGCCCCACTTCTGTAGCCGCAGCATCGGGGAGATCGAATGGTGCGGTACGATGCATGAACGTGGAATGTTGAATTAACACTCCATATGTAGTTGAGTAGAAGAATCCCGCGCGGGAGCAACAGCATCGAACAGACAATAAAGACGGAGCGGCAGGGCCGAACAAAAACGATGCTACACCGAAGCGGGTACGAGAACACCGAGCGTCTTCAACACTACTGGAACCAAAAACAGGACAACAGACGGATTGTGAGCAACGGCCAAGCTCCGAACATTTGATTGCACTCACTTTGGGAGGGCCAGGTAGTCTCGGATATGTTGCTTTACTTGACGCAACAGTTCACAGAAGCGAATTGACGAATCATTTAGTTCGCGTTCGTCATTGTGTGTTTTCAGCCCGCCGTGGTAGATCAATTCCATCGTGCAACGCCGATGTCGGTGCTGTTGGGTATTGCCAGGAAGTGTCATCGAGCAAACCATCCAATTTGGAACTCCGACACCACCCAGCAGTACCGTATGATCATCGCCGTCGTTCAGATTCATTCGGCACACATAAACAGCAGCATGGAACCATGAACAAGAAGAAAGGTGAGCGAACAACATCGGGGGAACAGCGGAGTAAACTACGTGTAGTTGTTGACAGATTGACGGATATCATTCTCCTGAACCTCCGTGCGATGATAACTCGATATTGACGCATAGGAAACAGAAATTATGTCCTCCTCGTATGTGAACAAGCTTTGCAGAAACGCTAAGGCGTACCAAATGACGACGTACTGCGCACTCTTCCGAGGGGAGAAGGGGAACACCTACGCACCAACAGCAAAACGGACAACAGCTGAAAACTACTGCGTGCTTACTTGGGTTGATACTGGTCCCGGCAGCGATCAGGATGACGTTGCAGTTCGCCGGTGGTGGGGCAAGTTTTTGGATCACGAAGGGGTCCTGTAGCTTCACCGAGGGGTTGTCCGTCTCCTGCTTTCGTTGTGCAGCGAACATGAAGATGATACCGTGAATCACGAACGTTACATGACCCCTGCTTTCCCCATTTCCAACAACATTGCTGCTTACCGTCCTCGCCTCAACTCTAGACACGCTTTCCCTCCAAGGTCCTACTTTAGCCACGTTTCACCGTATTTTCGACCGTCTGTCAAGATTTCGTGGGTCTCCACCACCTTCGACGTGGTGACACCGCCTACGACTCTGATGCTACAAGAACCAACCTTCCTCCAGACGTGGCTACCGGTTAGGTTCGTCGCACCCTGCGAGAGGATCTGGGCCATATCGTTGTTGCGGAGCAACCGACAGCTATCGACGGCGGAAGTACATGGGCTTTTGACCTGCCACCTTGTTCTCGAGTTACAGCCACCTCTTTATCATTGCTGCAGCCCACCACCATCGATGGTTTCGTCTCAGGGGACTTAGCACGTGCAGCTGTGCACTACAACCTTACAGCCATCGCACCACAAAACACAAGTTTTGAACAGCATACAAGCGTCCAAGACACAACACACACCAAGAACGTGAGCGTTTTCGGCCTCCCTCACGCCTGCGAGCGTACATCTCCTGAAGTGTCTAAGAGGCCATTTTCGTTGAAAACACCGAAAATAACACGTGAAAGGTAAACTACGCGGGGTGCAGCAAGCACGTTCTGGACGTTACTTGGGGCACTGGGTAGTCGGCCGTGTTAGACCGAGAGAGAGAGGTTGAGAGAGAGTTGGAGAGAGAGTGGGAGAAGGAAACTTGATTGGAGAGAGACGGTGGTGGTGGTGGAGAGCGAGAGGGAAGAAGAAGTGCGCAACACGCACGCAAGCTCCATCGCACCAACCACGCCAAAAGGATCCCCGTGACTGCACCGGTGATACCCTACTACACACGAAATTCCCAACACGTATCCCCTGGGATCCTCACGACCAGATACTGCTGCGAGTATATCTAACATCCCCCCTGCTCGCAACAGTCTCTCACTGAAAACTTCGCTAACACCCGATATCTCAAACCAAAAGACGTCTTTCCCAGACGATATGACACCAAGACTTTGCCAGAATAACATAAGAGAGAGGAAAACAATTCAAAGGAAGCTGCATCGCGCGCAACAAATACTTGGCGCGGGAAATGAAAGAAAGCGGGAAACAAAACGAGAAACAAAACAAAAACAAAACACAACCTATCAGAAAAACAACAAAATGTTCATGCCAAATTCACGGTGAGACTCGAAAGCATCCTTCGACAAACTCTTCGTAAGGAAGTATGCATGCTGGTACGGCGACGGCACGTGAATGACCGAAATTTCCTTCCTCTCTACCAGTTCCCTGAGAAAATGGTGCCTTACATCTATGTGCTTCGAGTTCGAGTTTGAGATGGGGTTCTGCGCTAGTTGAATCGCCCCCTGGTTGTCCTCGAAGACGGGGATGCACGGCATGCCGACCTGCGGCAACATGAAACGCCAAATCTGCCTCAAAAACAAAATCTCCTTCACTACGTCGCCTAGCGCGACGTACTCTGCTTCT